AAGCCATTTTGTGCATAATCCCACTTCCCCAACAGTCTGCACAGGACTGGCGATGTCTGGGGATCAGTCGGTTTCAATCACCGGTCGTTTTTGCAGGGTTGGCCAATCAGTTTTGCTAATTAACTTCAATGTGTGTGTGCGTGTGTGCGCGCGCTGATGAGTGGTGGTGAGTGTAATTGAAAATACAACGCTGGTTTCCTAAAACTGATATGCTGTCGGTTAATCGCTTTTATCTTCGTTATCCCTTCTTCGGTCGAGTAGCCCCTAAAGCCATTCTCTTCTGATCCACCAATCAGTGTACATCTTTTTTTAACTCAAAGCGGTTACACAGTTCAGAGTTGTGCACAGTAAACAAACGATAAACAAGCACGTACGCATATGGGAGCCCGGAGATGGTTTTACTCTGTTTCAGCCTCTATTTATTCGCGGGGTAAACATGCCTTTGTCTGCAAAGGCCTCTGCAACAAAAAATGGGTAATTATTTCGTATGGATTTAGAGGTCTCTGTTGTTATTGTCGCCGCCAGTGTTGTTCAGACTACTGCCAGCCTGCCATCTGCAAGTCTGCCACCGCCTATCTTCATCACTCCGTTGGGTAGAAAAGCCCGTGCGCGCGAGCACACACACACAAACAGAGATACATGAAAGGATTCGCACAAGCACTGGCCTAGCCTGTACATTCTCCAAAGAAAAGCCCCCAACTCAAAAAGGTTCAGTTCCAGGCAGTCTCATTGTTCCACAGTTTGTCCTGACCCTCTGCTCCACTCACGCAATGCTTCCAACCTCCTCTCCATAGGTACTCCATTCTTTCCCAGTTGTAGTCGTCCAGCAGCTGAGCAGGTGTTTGCAAAACAATCGTAATTAATCCGTTTTGCGACAAATAAGTTCTACAATAATAATTTTCTGCTCCGTACGCAGGTGTGCAACTGTAAGATAACTAGGGTGGAGACGACAAGAGATGATGGCAAGAACCATGTCAAGCAGATGATGCCCGATACGGCGCAATTGTACGCGTACCGTGCTAACTGCTCACTGGGCAGCTGAGTAGCTCAGTGTCCTGGATAAAAACGGTTGTCTTCGAAAAGCTGAAACACAGGTTTGTATGGCGGTGAATTACTAGCAGTTTGTTGTGCTCATTTTCCAAGAGGTTAAGCTGAATGAAATCCAACAAAAGGCTAAAAAGAGAAGCAAGAGACCAAACAGTTGAGGATGGCGTTTAGTCTGGGAGAAACTGTGTAAATATTTGGCTTGTTGAAGGATTTCTTGACATTCTGCACCTGTATTAAATTGCTGGGGATGCTACCCTTATTTCAAAACTATAACAAATCTTTCTGGAGGCGATATCAGGCCACTGAAATAAAGTACCCGGGGCAGAACGTCAGTGAAGGCAACATAAGTGATCTAAGCATAACAGTTTTCATGTTGCCAGTACGGTCACTTGGTCGGCCACCAAAGATTTCACTATCAAACACGGATAGCGTAATCAGCTCTATGCAACCAGAGAATACTTTAACTGACGGATAAACGGTTAAATGCAACTTGTGTACCTAGTCATTCCTTTATTCAGGTGAGACGACTTGGCGAGATCATTTCTTTGCCTTTTTCGGTAAACTTCTTCAGATATGGCCTGAAAATAAGCACTCTCTTACGGTCATCAGTGGAAAACTCAAAGATAAACACCACAGTTTCATCTAATTTTGTGAAATAAATTGACTTGTCGATGGCAGTTCATTCCAGTAGAGATCCTGCATTCCTCTTTTGTTTCAGAGATTACCACATGTCAATTCACATCAGAATCTCCTTGTTTGGCTAAGGTCCAAATGAAACTTAGACAGACGCAGTTTATCACGCACATGGTTTTGTTTGGCGCGTGATGCAGTGTCGTTGAAATGTGAATACACTTCAATCATTCGATTTAGGTGTCAAATGTAATTTGGACTTACAAAAAAAACCAAACGGTAAAGGAAAACCTTGGTGTGTAGAACTTGTAGTCATATCGGTCTCATTTGGACAGCCCTCTTACTTTTCCGATTTAGTACTAATAAGTTCACGCTAGAGCGAAGAAAAGTGGAGCCCCTGGTTTGCTTGTCAATATTGTGTATCCACGGCTGTGCTTGGGGCTGAACTCCGCCCCGTGAAGTCGCTTTGGTCTCTCTACCAGAATTACACAGGATAACCAGTCTCCGGGGCGTGAGATAGATCCACATGACACACTCGGAAGAATCGAAGGATTGCTGAAATCGGTGTGGGTGGAACTTCCCTAAACTTTTTGGGATTCGTTTGCCAACTACCCAAAACTTTGGTACTCATTTGAACGCATATCAGTCCAATAGGATTTTTTTTCTTCATCGTATCCTAGTAGCTTTGACGACTTGGTGCTTTGTTTTGGTCACTGAGTAGCCCATTGTGGGATATATTTGTTGGTCACTGTATACCCACACTGAGCCCTTTTTACCCAGAAGTTATGGAGTTCAAGCCTACCTTTTCCCTATATCCAGAAGAGCCGGGATTGGTAACCGAAAGCAGTCTATCAAATAGTCTGAGGATGCCTAACCAACTTTGTCGGCTCGATGGTATTTAAAATCAGACGAAACAGGATGACGACCCTGAGGTCAGCGTTTCTGTGGTTGACCTTCAACTCCTTATTTGTGTCGACGCTAGAAGCATCGTCTAACACATTCATCACTGTTTTTACCGGACAATATTTTTGGACAGGGAGCTGGAGTAAGCAGACTGCGACCTGTTTTGATCGGACGTGACGATTAAGCGGTTAGCAGCTGTTCTGCGGCACAAAACACAACGGACCTGAACAAAGTATGCAGGTAGCCTGGGTGCACCACTTCCGTTTTCACTCTGTTAACAAACCACAGCTTATCGCACCCCCATCGTCTATCAAATAGTCTGAGGATGCCTAACCAACTTTGTCGGCTCGATGGTATTTAAAATCAGACGAAACAGGATGACGACCCTGAGGTCAGCGTTTCTGTGGTTGACCTTCAACTCCTTATTTGTGTCGACGCTAGAAGCATCGTCTAACACATTCATCACTGTTTTTACCGGACAATATTTTTGGACAGGGAGTTGGAGGAAGCAGACTGCGACCTGTTTTGATCGGACGTGACGATCAAGCAGTTAGCCGCTGTTCTGCCGCACAAAACACAACAGACCTGAACAAAGTATGCAGGTAGCCTGGGTGCGCCACCTCCGTTTTCACTCTGTTAACAAACCACATCTTATCGCACCCCCATCCGGTGAATATCTCCACCATGTGATTTGCATGCTATAATCTTATGGAGGTTGTCTATTAGAAATTATCTGAGATGTCGATCTTTTCATGTATCTGACCGTTGGCCGTTCGATATCCTCTTGTCGCATTTTATTGCAAGTATTAATGAACAGTTTTCACACATGTGGGCCGTTTCTGTTGTATTCTGCAAACACTAGTAGTTATGTTCTAAAATCCGTGCCAATTCTAACAGATTCATCAAAACCTTGTTCCAGTCTGTTTAGCTGAGAACGGGACACTTGATTTAGTTCCTCGAGATCTGACCATATCACTCTCATTCGATCTCTCCGGCACTACAAAAGCTGGCCTTTGGAGTTGTTTGCATGAAAAGAAGAATCCTTCTGTGTTTTGGTCATGTTCTGTCGAGCTAAACTCCTCCGCATGACATTATTCATCCGGTTTAGGAAGAATACAGACATCCCTTCCGGCTTTGCTCATTCTATGGCTCACTGGCTAGACAAATTTCAGTTTTTTTGTCATAATTATATCGTATTATACTGCTCCAAATTGAACAACGTGACTATATAAGAGTACCTTAACTTATAAATCAGGGCTTGTCACAACACTACTTCAGTCTGGCGTACGGTGGTGTAAACTCGGCCCGACTGCTCATACCTGATGAGCTCGAAGGAAGGCAAAACGAATAGTAGGCTGTGCGAAGTTTTCCCTGACTCTTTAAGCAGCATATTCGGCACCTTGAATACCACCCAAACCGAAACATAAACTGATCTGTGTGCGGTACAATCCACTGTAAACGGAAGTTTCGTTTGGATTCCAGATGACTGCTCATACCTGGTGAGCTCGAAGGAAGGCAAAACGGATAGTGTGCTGTCCGAATTTTTCCCTGACTCTTTAAACAGCATATTCGACACCTTGAATACCACTCCAACTGAAACATAAACTGATCTGTGTGCGGTACAGTCCACTATAAACGGAAGTTTCGTTTGGATTCCAGCTAACGACGACTTCTTGCTACGTGTTGAGTAGTTAGGGTTTGCTATCCTTGAAAAAAAAGTTACACCCGTACTAGTACGATTGTGTTGACGACACTGCTAAACTCCGTTACGTTTTCGGGTACCACTTTCACTGCGATTTCCTCAACCGTGGTGATCCACAAGGACGTCAGACCAGAAAGTTAATTTGTGACAGTCGTTGCGTAAAAAACCATATACCAGTAAAACTTCATCTGTGCGTAGGGTAGAACCCGCATGGAGTCCGTGTATAACCAGAAACGACGACAAAGTGTTTGGATTCACAGCGAACATCTGTCCAGTCACACTCATTACCCGTCCGATGGATGAGGTTACGCAATCTCTTTAATTTTGGGGAGACGGTGGTGGTGGTGGTGATGGGTCAGTTAGCGAGTCACGTTTGTGTGTGTCTGTGGTTGCGATTAGGTTGTTCAGTCATGCAGATCCGAATCGGGACAGGCGCGCCTATGCTGATCATGTGTTCTTCGCCTGGCTCAGCAGGATCCTGCGGGACAAGGAGAGACAAAGAACTTGTAGTTGCCTGAATACACCAGGTTATTATTAACGGCACGTGCGGAAACAACTCCACGGGTTTTTTGTCCATCATTCATGGACAGTGGCCAAGCCACCCCGAGTACTTTCATGAGACCCTAAGCCCACAGCTACACAGTAAAAATAGAATAATGCCATACTTTATCTCTGTTCGAAGAATACTTATCCCATCTTCTGATCACCCCCGTTTCAGGTCATAGCAGACAAGAATTTCAAGACCACCTAAGGTCGCATTACGATTACAAGTGCCTGAAATGTGACTACACCTCAAGAACTGAAGGCCGGTTGAAGCGCCACTTGAAAGATTTTCACTCCGAAGTGCCTCCAGACAATTTTTCCGGTAAAGCGATTCGACCAATCCGGCCAAAACTACAACGCTGCAAACAGTGCGACTTTATGACAGAAACAAAAGTGAGTCAAATTGAAAGAAAACAAGGGAAGATGAGTTGCTCAGCAATATTGAAAAGAAACTGGATGCTCTGTAGAGTGTTCGCGAAAGCAAAAGCATCGATATAAGTGGTATTGCAATTGAAGCCCCAAGGTGACATTTTATTGTGACAAGGAAGGCTTATATCCTCTCTTCTCACGAAGATAAACCGAGTACAAACTCGGAAACCCATGATTCATTATTACTGGTCACTGTTCATGAGTGACGAAAACCTAGACGAACTAGGTGTTAGATAATGCTGCTGGAAGTCTCTTGAATGAACGCAGCGAATAACCCACGAAATTGTTAGAACGTTATGTCATTAATGCTAATCTCCAAACTTCGTTTTTTCCCTTTTCACAGGACGAATTCTGGCGCCATTTACGAGTTCACATAAAGGAAGACAAACGTTTGGAGTGCAGTTTGTGCTGTTTCGTCACAGAATACAAACATCATTTGGAATACCACATGCGAAATCACTTGGGTTCGAAGCCGTACAAATGCCCCAAGTGCAACTATGAATGTGTGAACAAGTCCATGCTGAATAGTCACATGAAGTCACACTCCAATGTGTATCCATATCGTTGTGCAAACTGCCATTACGCAACTAAATATTGTCACAGTCTGAAGCTGCACCTGGCCAAACATGATCACAAACCAGCGGTTGTGCTGAATGCGGACGGAAGTCTGCCATCCTATGATAACACGGCTGAACTAATGAGCTTACGTCGTGGTCCAAACGTTCGCCACCCAGTTGGTCCTCGGGGTCATGTAAATGACAGTACAATTGACCTGAAGAGAGATAACAAAGTCGGTAGTTTTGCTGAGTCTCCATTCAACAGTTTTGTCGATCCAAACTTCATGCCGTTCAGTCATAATCTGGTGGTTCGCCATTTGATGAACTCCGTCACTACAGGAAGTTCCATCGTAGAACCATTCCACCCGTACCATACATCCTTTCCGTTCGCATTCCATGGCACTCCCCTCCCTACGTTTCCTGGATTTCTATTCCCAAATCCCTTAATGGATCCCTCAACCCTGTTCAATCCGCCAAAGTTTCCAAACTCATTTCCGGAAAAACAACAATACACCCATGTGGACAGTTTACCGGGGACAGCTGTCACAATGACACCGTTTTTGCCAGGAAATCCTGATAAATCCTGTGGGTCCGTGGAATTAATCGGTTCATCACACACTTCCATGAACTGCAGTCAGGTGCCCTGTTCAAGTCCCTCAGTTACGCCTAACTACTGCAGTGTTCAGACTCCCCAGGCGACACCTCCAAAGGTCAGTTCCGTTAACCCAGAACCACGCACTCCTATTACCTCAAAGCCGCCGGGCGGCAGATGCTTCGATAGCCATCCAGTGGAGGACTTTGATCAACTTCCCCATAGGAGTTTTCAATTTGTACAGTCCATAGGAGACAGAAATTCACCATTTCAAGATGAAAGGCGGTCGGTCGCTAGTACAGCACACCCAAATCACGGTACAGAAACAACCAAATCAGCTGAAGTACTTCACGAACAGAACGTAACAAATTCAGATTCAGCAGAATTCGAACATGCATTAGATCTATCTACTAAACTGACTGCTGATCTTGGTGGACATGGGGCTTCAGGGCGCTCAAAATTTTCGTACAATGTCACAGAACCGTTCAAGGAATCAACGGCTGAAATGCAGAATGTGAAAAGAAACCCACAGTTTTTATCGTTGAAAGACGAATCTTTGGAAAAGCGGTCCGTTCAGCAAAACGATAGTCTACCGGTAAATGATATGTTGGCCTCAGGCACTGAGGCTGGTGGTGATGAAACTGCTCAAGCCTTTGATTACGAGTGCAGGTTTTGTGAGATACGCTTCAGACAACGAGCTTTGTTTGACATTCACATGGGATTTCACAGTCACACAAATCCATACTTGTGCAACCGATGTGGTCACCAGAGTAGAAACCCTGTGGACTTTTTCATTCATCTTGGACAAATGGCACACTATTCGTAATCGTGAAACAGTAGTTGCAAGCACATGCGCTCATTTTGTACAAAGCTTCCTTAGTTTACTGTACTAAAGGAATGAAAAACAGACCATTCCCCACATCTTTCAGTCTTGGGAATCAAGTACCAGTGTATTATAAACACTCCACGGGAGAAACGTCCTAGTTCCCCACAGTTGGTCTGAGAAACAGACTTTCGGTGTTCGATCGATAAAAAGACGGTTCCCCTAGTTGGGCAGAGCTCTATCGATTTTTTTCTTTGATTTTATCCAAATATTGTCTAATACATTTTCCAACGTCCGCTTTTCCTTGCTATTACCCAGTTTTGGAGGAGATTGAAGCAGTCCAGGTCCAAACTTCCGACGGAGAGATTTTGCACTCAGTGGTTAGAGCGCGAATTTACTGACTGGAAGGTCCTTGGTTTCAACACGACCATTGCCTCTCGACCCCCCTTGTCGAGGATTGGCAACCTGGCAGTATCCCAGCCTTCGTGCTTCTTTTGTGTGGCATGGCAGCTAGGCACCGAAAGGCTGTTACAGCTGAGCGATTCTTTTTTTCACTGATCCGCGGTTCCTACCTACCTCTAGGTTCCCGACTGCTGGTGTCCTGGCATGGAATTTCCGGTACTTTATAATCTTTCGTGCCTAACCCGCACCACGCGGCATCTATGCAGCAAAACAGTGCTGCGTCAGAACGGTTTAGTTAAGTTTTATCAGTAATCTGCAATAAGTTCTCAAAAACGAGAGATTCAGTTGGATTCCAGGTGAGTCTCTCGAAAAAACCAAATTAGTTTGCAAATGAGTGTATATTCACTAATTTCGTGCAATCTGGTTTCAAGTAGAACATAAGGTTGACGGAAACCCGGGGACTGCGCCTACCTGATGAGCCCCAAAAAGGGCGAAACCGGTCATGGGCTGTCGATGGATTTTCAGCAACCTTATGAGTAGCAAATTACAAAGATATACATGTGTTGCGATAGTTAAAATTGTGTTGTCCTTGTGATAGGTGGAGCGCGTCGTAGTCTGAAAACAATTACCAGCTCTTTAATGCGGATGCTTGCGATAGAGAGATTACAGAGCTAAAAGCAATTTTTGATTCGATTGCTACTTACCGTGTTTATATTGTTAGTTGTGTAGGTCATGGTTGTTAGTTAGAAAGCATGTTTTCGGTTGTGTAACGGGTACTTCCATTGAAGAATGTGTCCAGCACCAGAAGCTACGTTGGTTGTGACATGTTTTACGCATGCCGAACCATCGTTTGCCGAAGAGAGTACTGTTTTCCATGCCCAATTCGGAGTGGCGGTTGGATACACTACAAGATATGGCTGCCAACCGATGTCAGTGGCGTTCTTGTTGTCAGTTTCTGTCCAGATTGCCTGAGTGAATGTCTGGAGGTGTAGGCACCTCGGAATGATTGTGTTAAGCTAGCACTAAGTCCCTCCCCCATCTACCTTTATTCTTTTCTTTACAATAAGGCCTTCAAATAAGTCATGGCTGTACGGCAGTGAAGCATTGGTGTTGAGCACTGATGTCATGCTGTCGTTGATGATGATACCGTGTTTATATGGTCGGATCGACTGCGGGTCGCTTTGATTTCCACCGTTTACCGTGTCACTTCACGGGAGCTAGCTACACACCCACATGATAGCAACGAAGTAAAATGATTTTTTGTTTCGGTACAAGTGAGGAGTTTGAGGCTGGTTGGAAGTAATCACTTAGATATGCTGCACTCATGTGACAGATTTGCCAAGAGAAATTTTTGTTCGAAGGCGTTAGATATATAGAAGTAGAGTGTTGGTTGGCGAATGTGCACTCATTTGCAAACTTATTTGGTTTTGCGAGAGACTCGTCTGGAACCCAAGTGGGTCTCTTGTTTGTGATGCTTTCACCCAACTGAATGTGCTGTACCAGGCCGCCTCATGTTTCAGTCACTACGATATTCAAGATATCGCGATGCATGTGTATTCGTAATGCACAACTCATACGGTTGCTGAAAACTCGTCAGCAGCACATTCAGTTGTGTGAAAACAGCACAAACGAGAGATTCAGCTGGGTTCTAGGTGAGTCTTTCGAAAAACCAACTTGGTTTGCAAATGGGTGTATATTCAGCAACCTAATGAGTAGTGTATTACAAAAATATAACCAGTCCACTACCTTTTTGTTTCCTTGGCAACTCATCAGATGGATGAAGACAGCCAGTATGCTACGATGACATTTACCCAATATGCGAGTGGGTATTTTTTCACTTATGTTACGTCACCGTATTTCCAAATATTCTAACGAAGTGCATAGGTGGACTAAGTGATTCAACCAGATTATCGATGATCATTGAGGCCGGATAGTACAACAGTCTCCCTCACGAACAGGTTCATGGGTATCCATCGGTTTTCTGGGGACCCAAGGGCAAAGTGCAGCGCTGGACGACCTGGTCGTCAATCATTCTATCTTTTATTCATAGAATTATCAGTATTAGGTAGGAATGAACTGCTTAGGCCATTGATCTTCTTGGCTGGTTTCTTCATCCACGTTCTCTTCATGTTAGTTGATTGAAACCGGTAACTGTAGCACGCACATGGCCGAAGAACTGAACCAACTTTAATCGATACCATACGATGTGCTCACGCCACTTACGGTTTCGTAATAACCCACCATATGCAGCTTGGTTGGAAGGGAAGGATACGTTTGATATCGATGTCTAGTTTCAAGTTTTTCTATAGGAAACAAAGAGCTATGACTTCATAAAGGAAACTACTCATAAGGTTGCTGAAAACTCTTCGACAGCCTACGACCGGTTTCGCCCTTCTGGGGGCTCATCAGGTAGGCACAGTCCCCGAATTGCCGTCAACCTTATGTTCTGCTCCAAGAAGGGCAAAACCGGTCTTGAGCTGCCGAAGACTTTTCAGCAATCTTGTGAGTAGTTTCTTTTATGAAAATGTACTGCGATATCTCGAATATCGTGCTAGCTGAAACATGAGGTGGCCTGTGTGCAGCACATTCAGTTGTAGAATATCATAAACGAGAGATTCAGTTGAGTCTCTCGTGAAAGCCAAATTGATTTGCAAATGAGTTTATTTCTCGGAAAGAGCTATGTCGTTTTTACAGGCAACTCGAATGACATTCTTTTAAAATCTCAAATCTTACATGTTTCTAGTTCTTCAAGATAAATGTTTGGTTCAATGGGAAGTGATGGGCAGTTTTGTGTCTACATTGCATGTGGACATGAGAACTGTGTGCTTTTTTTAGGAGGAGTGCGATATATGGCGGATTGGTTTGAGCCGTAATGTCCGCAATGCTTTGGAAAATTGGTTTTTACTGTTGTGTTTTCAATCCACCTTAGCTAATCGATAAACCACTGGGTGGATACATTTAGCAAAGATTCAGATAAGCGATTGGGAACACATCAGACTAGACACTTAAATTTTAGGTGCAGCATAACATAAAAGAAAAACCGGTTTCAAATATCACAACGTACCAGGTTAACCGGAAGGCACGAAATCACCCTTGTGAAACCAGCCAGGATACACTGTACAGATAATTAGTTTGCGCTTGTCTACCTTATCTCTTGAACGGCCTTTTCCTGGCCCGGTAGATTTAAAGTTTTACTCCCATCAGAAATCTAAAGCAAGGCATATCACCGGACGAAACGAGTTATTAACCTCGGTGACCTAAAATGTGTTGCGGATTGTTAATTATTCCACAAACAAGGTTTGTCGCACCTGCTTTGACATATCTGAGCGAGCTGATAGGTTCACGTTTCACTTGAGTACTGTGAGCCCGAAGGCTGGACCGACGACCCACTATTTGTTTAGTTTTTGTTGGTCAGCTGGTCCAGCCATCATGACTCTGCGGTTGGGTAACGACCACAAATATTTCTGGCCAGGCGGAGAAATTATTGATTACTTGGGAGTGCTCACGATGGATAAGTGTGGACTTGGAGTGAACTTAGCCTGAACTTGGCAAAGACACCTCGTGAGCTATAATTCGTCAAAAGCTTTATTTACGGCTGTTTTGATGAAGGGTAATGTTTAGTCATTAGCTCGAGCAACTTGCTCCCACAGGACACTTTATTCAAACTTGATTTCAAACTTGACGCTCAAACTGATCAGGCATAGATCAACGACAAACCCCCGGGCATTTCGCCCTCAGTCATATCGGTCCTCAATGCCAGCTGGCCGCATAAACTAGCTAGAACTTATTCCAAAAGATCACCAAATTATGCGGATTTTGACATGACTCCGGAAGACTTTGCTTCATAAAATAAATGCATATTACCACGTGATTCTTTGGTGAGAAAAATACAATGCCGCTAGACGACACATACATGCATACTTTCAAACATAACTTATGAATATTTACAGTGAATTCAACCTAAATATGGATGAAATTGAAGTCAACAGGTGAAGCATCACTTTGCATGTTAAAGGTGTAATTGCCCAGAGGAATACTAAAGACTCTATTGACTTATACCCTCTGAGTATGAACCCAACCAAAGCCAGCATCGAGAATTCGTCATTTATTTCAGCCAGCTTTGGTGGGAAGCACGAGCTAGAACGATGAGAAACATTTCAGTCTTGGTGGAGATTTCGTACTGTAAGCGTAGCCAATCTATGCTGAAAAGCCAAGAAATACAGCACCGTTGTTTCATCTTTATTGGCACTAACCGGCAGTGCGCATCCCATGGAACTGAAGATTCTCAACCCCGCGATCTCCCAGCTCTTAGTTTGGACATAACCATTCGACCACAATTGTCTGGTGAGCAGTGTGATTGACTGACGCTTAGACAGGGTGCAGCACCGCTCATTCTTCGTTCACGTGGTCGAACGTGTTGACTGGCTTTTCTTCCAGTTTACCGTTTTCGACGGAGATTTCGAAAAGTTGAAAAACACTTTTATCCATATTGGGAGTCACAAGTGGCACACGTCCCACAAATCTCCAAGGAGATTCGATTCGTAATTTCCCAGCTAAACTAATCCGTCCTGTCATCAGGGACTGATCAGTANTCAGCGACTGATCAGTAGTGTGATTAAACCGCTCTTCGACAGGATATAGCATCACTCATTTTTCAGACTTTGATTGTTGAATTGTATAGAACCGCCAGAGATCAAACCCCGATAAATATAACTTGTACAAAGCATAACCTATCGAACGAAGCATTGCATAAACACGATGTACCTACCTACTCAAGCAATGACAACGCTACCTTGATTGATACGAAATATTTGCAACTAAATTTCCCAGCCTAGAGGACATAGAGAAAATACACGGTGTGATATTCCTTATGTGGGTGCAGTTCCATCAAGTAGGACTGACTTCGTCTGGACCCCACCGCTGGCCCATACAGGACGCCTGCTTACGGTAAAGTGTGACTTCAGGATGTCGAAAGACCAAAGGTGAGTAATGGGGTCAATTCGTTAGTGACAGTCAAAGAAATTTCATCATGTACAAAATCCATATCTGCACGCACCCAGTCAGATCAGATAAGCGCCGACAGCATGACCCCTTGCTTACAAAACCCTACCATGGCACTTTTCACGTAATATCCTCTTTAATTTCTGTCCATGTGCTGACAGGAACTAGGTAGTTTGGGTATGATTTCACTTAGACTTCCTCATTGGCATGTAAAGGTACAGGTGTTTCAGACTCAAACGACCGACTTCTCTTAATAAACTCAGCACTGATTCTTAGCTAAGCTTTGTAACCCATGGATTTTATAGAGAAGCGAAGCAACGCCGATGCCTTTATGACCCGTGCAAACAGACACGGCTGAGGAGCATTGCTGAACCGGGCTCATCTTGCATTGCTTGCGACCGAGCGAGTGCAGGAACATTTGTTCCCGTTATATACTTGAAATAACCCATTCGGAGAATCGCAATAACATTCGGTGCGCTGACCACGGCTGACACCAATAAATTTACCCGTGAAACTCGTGAGTCCTCATTGGGTGCTCTGCTAGGCCATAACGGAAATCAAATTACGCTACTGAGAAAACAAGTAGTAGTGTAATCAATAACGATAAATGCGCAAATGAATACTTCCGCCGTCGATATCGTCTGTCTCAAGGCGTAGCCAATCTTCCAGTGAACTTAATTTTCCTAATTACCTGAAACATTCTGTGGCTGAATTGCCGTAGTGTGACGATTAATACACCTCCATTACCCATTGAGATGTACCATAAAGAAAATACGTGACATTCGAAGAGCTTCTCAGACAAATTTGTTCAGCGCGTAGTTGGACGAAAACAATTCCCTGGGTGTTAGTCAGTTCACCAATCTTCGAATCTGGATTGCAGGTATTTCGTCACAGACTGAGGCGACGTAATTACTGCAATGTTGTGTGGGTAAATTCCTTTTATTCAGGCTAGGCTTTTATAAGTTCTAAGCAGTACTAGTAAGTAAAACGTGGTTGGTTAGCCACCACGTGGCCTTTGCGTAATTTGGTTGGCCGGACTGGGACCAGCGCTGGGTTAGGATCCACTTACGTGGAGATAGTCGGGTATTTCCAAGGTTCTGTTCCACCTTTGTTACTAACCTATTTCAATCTATATGTCTCCATTCTTCTACCTGATTGGCTAGTCACATAACCTTATATTCTCAGTAATATCATGTAGTTGCTCCGTTGTTTATTGTTATAATGTTTAATTTCCCACGTGTTTCTGATTCTAGCTAACGCGTGCTTCGTTTCTCGGTAGCATCTGATAGACTGGATTGATGTCGAGGTGTTTATTTATTGGGCCCCTTCGTGGAGTACCACCTACCGGAAGAGCCCCGCTTCAATTGGATTCGTGATTTGAAACCGTAGGTAACATTAACCTCCGTCTTCGTAAGTTAGAAGAAGAAAGACCAAGTGCAAAACTTGGATCCAATTCTCATCGGAATTGTTGTGAAACAACCAGGGAAAGAATTGCCCCCGGACAGGAGAGCGATTGTTTGGAATGTGCTTCCAAATTCTGCAAATCCTACAGACAATTAAAAATCGCACTAAGAAATTCCACCACGTGAGTTGGTTTCAAAGTATGATAGGAGTAATACACTATGAATAAAGTTACTGAAAGTTCTTCGGCAGCCCACGACCAGTTTCGCCCTCCTTACGACTCATCCGGTAGTGTTCTACTTGAACCAAAATGCACGAAATTAGCGAAATATACACATTTGCGCACTAGTTTGCTTTTGACGGGAGACTAAACTGGAACCAAACTGAATTTCTCATTTAACGAGATTCAGCTGCGTTCCAAATAAGACACCCATTGGAAAAACTAATTTGACACAATTGATGGGAATGACCGGTACAAAGCAAAGTTTGGACACTGTCGGCTTGTTCGTATTTCCGGACGAGATCCATATGGTCCTTCCTGTGCATGTATGGCGACTGACCGAAAACATTTGCATTCATGCTGTCTGTTTCTATTCCGATCGTCTGAATGAGTGCCGAAGATGTAAGCACCTCGGATGTTTGTGGTAGGGCAGGCCCAGGACCTTCTTCCTGTCCCATATTTTAGCCCTTTTTCTATCATATGACATTATTCGAACGGACATCACGATTGGTATTGCTGCGATATGCAGTGAAAGAAAAAGGTTGGCGCGTGTAACCAGCGCCTCGATAAACTCTCCATTCCTTTTTCGCTGGCTGGAGGCTCGCGATTGGTCTCTACATGTCGTCTCCTCGGTCGGTATCCACTTTCCTGGCTTGAATCCGATTCCTCGTAAACTACGGCAACACCAGTTTGTTCCGTCGTTTTTGATGGACGAAGTAGTTTCAGACGCCAGTGACCAAAACTGAACCTTTTCGGGAGCAGATTTATTGCACTCCTGTTGCAATGCACCATACGATCGCCATCTGTGTCAAAAGGTAAGTTTAATTTTGTCAGGTCCTGAAGTTTCAATAAAGACAGAATTGTATGTATTTACTTTTCCTGTCCGCAGATATGTGTGTGTTTTGTAAATGCCAGCATCATTTTTATCAAATACGCTTTATCCACAGGCATCTGTAGAAGTTCTCATCAGAATATCCACTATGTATCTTGAACGCTGCCTTGGGATCATTATGATGTAATGTAAAATTCCTACATGATTTCGTGGCCAGGTGGCGTGTTGCTTTCTTTGTGGTTATACTTTTGGGACTGTCGAGAATTGGGAAGCTCCGAACCGTGGCTCGTTGAGTTCAACACTTAAATAAGTACACTTAAGTAAGTGGTATTCATTCAGAATTCTGGCGGCTAACAGTCATCAATGCTCAACTTACAAGGTTGCTGAAAACTTGTCAACGGTCCATGACCGGTTTCACCCTTCTTGGGGCTCATCATCAGGTAGGCGCAGTCCCCGGGTTTCCGTCAACCTTATGTTCTACTTGAAACCAAATTGCACGAAATTAGTGAATATACACTCATTTGCAAACTAATTTGGTTTTTCGAGAGACTCGCATGGAACCCAGCTTAATCTCTCAGTTGTGATGTTTTCACCCAAATGAATGTACTGCTGACCAATTTTCAACAACCCTATGAGTTGTGCAGTACGAATATACATGTGTCGCGATATCTCGAATAGTAGCAACTGAAACATGAGGCAGCCTGGTGCAGCACATTCAGTTGGGTGAAAGCGTCATAAACGAGAGATAAGCTGGGTTCCAGGCGAGTTTCTTGAAAAACCAAATTAGTCTGCAAATGGGACAGTAATGCTGTTTATACTGTCGATATCTGTCCACAACTTATGGCCGGGAGTTGAGTTTGTAAGCACTTCGGGTGCTTCTTGTAGGACAGTCTTAACTCCATCATGCCCTATGTTTCAATTTTTTCTATTATTATGTCGTATTCCAGTAAATCAACATCTTTTTAGCAAGTTGAAACACCCAATTCTCTTTTAGATGTTGCTTTGTATGACGATGGTGACGGTACGATGTAGTACATACAAGGATGTGCTGACTGGCACCCACTAAGCCTACAAATTACAAAATCAGATGGCAGTTGATCTGCTCATCACGTGTAGTGGCGGTATTTTCCTCAGCTTAGTTCTCGGTCTGAGCCTCCCAAGCTAGCGTTCACGTCAAAACAACCACCAAAGATGCACAAGGTCTATTAATGTCCAAAGCGAAGTCAAGAACAGTTGTACAGCGCTTCGTATATATAGCGTAAGCGGTTATAACTTTCTGAAAGTTCTGACGCGTTCTGGATGCGCCATTGGCAACCAACATTTGGCCAATACTGGGCCACGATTGGCTGTTGGGTCCAGATATCTGACTAATCAGATCTCGTCTTGATGCCGGACCGGCAAGCGTCCCGAATTCTTGGCCACTCTCGTGCGGGTCAGGCTTATCGGCCGTAGCAGCGCCTAAAGACGTGCGGTAAAGCGGGATCTGTGTGGAATTCTGCCTAACATCACGGCAATTGGTTTGCAAACATTTCGTACGCGCTCGAGGTTACATTGTCAGTACGCAACTCAACTGCACTCAGCTGGGCATTGACGATGTCTCCTCGACTGAGGACGAAACGTTTACAAACCAATTTCCAACCGTAAACATATCCGAGCTACCCATGTTTCGACAACTTGACAAGCGTATGGATTGTTCTGACATTCTTCGAAATATCATCGTAAACCCGTCCAGAATTTGGCTGCTTGAACAACACTAGTCTAATAAGATTCCACGGTTTACAGATGAAGAGAATATTGTTAGCTCCGGTTGTGATATGATGGTCGTTTGTTTGTTCGCTGAGGTGACATCATCCGAGTGTCTTGAAAAGTAAAGCCGTTTTTGGAAATGCATCCCAAAATAGCTGGAAATACTTTTTAATTCATACCCAACCACTGATCTACAAAATGCTCTGAAGCATCTTCCCTCCTAACGAAACCATCTTCGATTAGTCTGACAGCTGGATATCACGTTGTTACCAATTTTCCAACTTGTATTCCACACGAGAATGCGCTATCCAGCGTGCATTATTCTTGATAGCCCCTCTCAGCTGTAGCACCCTTTCGATGCCGTGCTACCCGAAGGAAGCACGAGGGCTGGGATTCTGCCAGGTTGCCCAAGCCTAGACAGGGGAAGTCGAGAGGCAGAGGTCGGGTTCGAACCACAGCCCTTCCGGTCAGCAAATCCGCCCTCTAACAACCACTTGGGCCATCTCGCCACCTATTCTCGATAAGAACTATGTTTGAGTTGTGCACTGCAAAAACACTCGCGGAGGATCAGAGTTGTCTTCAAAACACCTAATATTCTTCATGTTTAGATGACTATTTTCATACTACGCCATTAAGAGATAATTTTCATAGCGAATTCATTAATATCTCTCATTGACAGAAGGCGCTTGGACCCATCGCTCATTGTATTATCTCAACATAAAGCATTACCACAGTGTCACACACTGGATCGCCTGAATGTTGTACTGATTGAAATGATCTCTAGTTGACTGCATGATTTTGAACGCTAGGCTCACACCGGATTAAAAGTTCATCTGGCGAGAATCCTGACACGGTCTATTAAGACTTGCAAAATTACAACTTTCCGAGTACGAAAAGGGCACTCTGAAATGAGGAGATGAGAAAATGTCTCGCATATGGTATATTAATACGTCCAAACAATATATATATATATACTGTTGCATATATGGATACATATTGATATATACAGTGCATAAAATGATATGTTTTTTTAGGCTGATAATTTTTGTGCAGCCAAAGTATTAAGCAGTGTCAGGAATCGAAAGAAGGTAGTTATACCATTAATAGCAATATTGACAGTAGTGTTACTAGCGGTGATAAGCTTGTAGGATTTATGGACGAATGGCCTGACAGCTCGGAGTAAACCAGCCCTTGGTGGATGTAAACATCAGTGTTTACTCGGACTCTTTGAAGCCAAGGTTCAAGGCGGTGCAAATGTAGTGGGACAAAAATTATCTGAAGCAAAAATACTGAAGCATACGCTTCTCTGTTACATCCTCTTGGTTTCGTTCTGAATCGAGTCTACCGCTTCGTACCCTCTTATCGACGATACCGCCGAGTTGCTGCATCTGTGGGCAAAAAGCGGAAAACTGGTCGTGAAAAATCTGGATGTATCCAAGAATGGAAAATAATAAGAAAGTGCGTCTTCTCCTAGAGTGAGATTAGGCTACCTTTTGAATGAAGACATAATAGAACGTAACGACTGAAATGAGATACAGGTTAGTCACGAGCAACTCTGGTTCACTTCGAGGACAGAAATGTGAAGAAGCTCAAACGATTTTTCCGTATCGAATTGACTTTTGCCTTTTCTGACTTTAACGGCATTGGTCTTGCCCTGCTTGTTTCACAGAGAACCAGCTTAGGCCCAATAAAGTTTGTGTACCTAACGGATTGATTTAAGAGTACATGCAGGTTGCCATCCCTCCCTCATTGTACTTCTTTCTGAGTCGTTCTGCACAAAACAGGTTTGACTTCTAAATGTGATTTTGCATAAACCTTTCTCCCTATAGCAGCTTCTTTCAATTCTGCCAACTTCATGCGTTTCCCATCCACTTGTGTGTTTCGGAAGGAGAACTTCTTGTTGCCGGTAAAAGTTACTTGTATACAACAGATGTCTTGGTTTTTCGTCGTGAATTACCTTTTTGTTAATGTTGGACACAAATGGTGCGGTACTCTAAAAATTGCTTCTCAACTATAACGGTAATTTTGGAAGCCTGGAATACTGGCCCTTGATGCAAATTCCCCCATGATATTTTTAACATTTTGATCAACAATTCGTGTGATAAGACGGAGTTAACCTGCCTCGATTTCTCTCTGACTCGGGTTCATTTGCAGGATTATTCTGTCCTTCCCTGTTTCTTTGGTAGAACAATTTTCATAGCTCTCATTGGTTCCAGGTATGTCAGACATGCCTATCCTGGATTTTTGGAGCAGTTCTGAATGGAACTCATGGGGAGCTGCCATCTTCCTCGCTGTGGACGAACAACTCTTACAACGAAATTCGGTCACTTCTCCTCTTCACTAAGCTTGCTACACTGCGAAACTAACGAAACTTAACAAATAAAAATCCCAAATATTTTGGAAGCAACTTTGATTGAATCTATTTTAATCGCCGTAAGGATAGGTGATGTCAGCTGTTATACTTCTTTAAATAAAACAGTAAATGAACAACTCTAACTGATTCCATAATGCGTTAATGCTAGGACTTATTTTATAAATGACAACGCATGGACCAGTTAGAAAGCACAATGAAGGTCATGTCTAGGTCATGACCGATCGATATGCGTAAGCAGCCAATAACGCAAAAGCTTGAATGAGCCATTTTGTCTCTACATTGTAAATCATAACGAAATCCTTTTGACGGCAAAAATTATTATTGATAATAATAATAGTTCAGCCGAAATGCCCTTTTGGTAGTTAAGTCCACGGCACCCGAATGAGGCGCCCGCATCTACATGTCCATGTGAGAACTGAAGTCTTTCAGCTGTTCAGAGTTTCTACACCCATCAACAAACGCGTCATTTTGAACTATAGTCACGTGCAAGCAGACCTCTGGATGGTTTTCGCCATATTTAACTGAATTAAAAAGGCCTATTTATGACCGTCGAAATAAGTGTGAAATAGTATTCCGTGACCCGTCAAAAACTCACAGCACTTACCAGCCTGAAGCCCACAATCTGGCCCAATTAGCCACGATGGACATTGGCACATGCCAGTTGAAGGCAAGCAAGTAGCACCGTTGCGGCAATTGCATGTTTCTGAGCACTGTGCCCCGAATTGACCGTTTGGACAAGCTACAAAGTTTGCGTGGACAGTTAGCTAAGAGAGTGCATTAAAATTAACCGTGAGGAATAATAAATTGCTTGCATGCATTTGAGGACACCGTGACAGCGGATGCGGGTTTAAAAAATGTACTGTTGACGAGTAGCATATTTCTGGTTATAGAATCATGTAACCTGACAGATGCAGCCATTCCGAAATTACCGCTACTGCTTCTTTTTATGACGCATAAATCTGAGGGTTCCGTTAAATCACGCTCATCCTCGGAATTAAGGTTCTTTGCTCACCCTGTGTACGGTGTGCTGATTTGCGAGTCACGCATTTTTGTGCCTATCTCCCGGGAAACGGGTTGAAGAATGAGCCCACTTTCGTTTCGGACAGCATAAATCAGCACATTGAATTTGACGTTAAGGCTCTTGTGCACAATAGCGTACAATGCGTTTCAGCGTTCCTAAGATATGATATGACTTTTTCACCGAAACCAATCCCCTCACTACAGCGTGTCATGCTCTTATTGTGGATCAGCAATGTACCAGGTGACCATATCCAGACTATGTTACTTCCAGTTTTCGGGTGGAAAGGAATCATCAAAAACAAGGTGCATTTGGAATAATTGTTGGGTTTGGTATTAACCGGTGGTAGATTTCGGGAGTGCATTTCATGAAGTTTAACAAGGGTGCACCCCATTCTCCTATGTGCCCACCGTAAAGCATGTGAAGTGGGAAGGTAGGGTGGTGCGGATGCGTCATGTATGCTAAATACGTAATCCTGTCACCGACTGGCCATTCGCTTATTTTACTTCATGATCCTACGAAGCCGAGATACCCAAGAAGTCATAAGACTAACAATAATAGTCAACATTCAGACAGGCTACAGCAGTGCATTATCCAGAAGCTGTTGAAAGTTCATTGAGGGATTTCATCCTGGAAGTGGAGCGAGTAGACACTGAAAAATCTAGGAGCTACCTCATGCTCGTTGGGAAGACCCAGCAGTGCATAACTCACGAGCCTGGCTAATTATAGAGCACTATGCCATTCGGCAATTAGTCGCTGACCCGCGGTGTGATTGACTTGTACTTGAATGGGATATAGTGGCACTTATCCTGCAAGCAGATTACGTCTTCTGGCGTTGAATGGCCTCTACTTACAAATCCAAAGTAGTTTACCCACGGATGAGAAAAATTCCACAAGCTCATGAGCTTTCCAGCTGAAACGTCATCATTTGAGGAGTAAGTCAACCACAGCTCGTATAGAATGAACAGCACAGTTGGAGGATAAATGGCTTCATGTCCCGTTTAGATTTAAGTTAATTGCACTACTGGTCAGCCACTCCCGGAAGAAGGATTCCCTAGCGTTTTTTGTTTATGTTTTTATCAGGTCATTTCAGTGATATACTCTGTGAACTAGACATTTGGGACGGAGCTTTTCAACCTTGCATGGCCATTTTTTTGCATAATTTCAGAAACTTTTCCATCTTCAAAGGTAAAAGTGCTCTGAACTGCACATTCCTTCAAATCGCAAGTGTGGCTAACCAGTTTTTAGTACGATGAGGAGCACTGAATTTGCGATTTTGAAAAGTTGGTGTTTGAATCCGTGGATCAATAGGTTGATCCAGTGGGATACTGTGCCCTCCCAACACACTAAAATTATAATTCATGAGTTCATGAGAGTACAAAATGACTAGGTATTATTGAAAACCGCGTTACGATTTGAACAATATAGCTATGGGCAGAGCCACACAGCGTAAGCATTCCGACAAAATAAACAGCACAACAGAATAACCAGAGCGGGTCAACTGAAATCACAACTGCTTCGTCACCGTTCTTTGCTTGGTGGTGCATGCATGCAATATTTCATTCAAATCTAGTGTTCCTGTCCTGCCTATCGAAGGTGTTATAACGAGGACACCTTTGGTTACCTGATTTCAGATATGATCTCCTTCCATGGGTTCTGAGTTTGAGACTGTAAAAGTTCGGTTCAACTAACAAACGACTTGAAACGAATGGACCGAAGTATTAGCTATGGTCCGTTGAATAATAGTTGCTTCATCCTTTGGTGAAGCTAATCTTCACTGTGGTGGTTTTTCCAACTTCTTTGCATACCGAAGATTGCTACTTTTGTGCGATACATCTGACTCGTTACACAACTTTGGAGTTTCTGATACTGTCAATCTGTTTAGAATCGTTTGCTACTATGGCTGTTCACTTTGGATTCTCGGTGGGAACTCCGACACAATTTGGGTAGTTTTTACCAATAATCAAAATAGTTGAGGTTCGTATAGTCCCAATCTTATCCTTGTACGAACAGTACCGCATTCGATGCGTAGATCTACATCTTTGACGCTTTTCTTGTTGTTCTGCGCTCCTCTTACATTGGAGATATTCAACATTCGTACTATCCATTCGTGCTGCCTGGTTGGAAGTGTCTCTTCCAAACCCTACTTCGATTCAGCTACTTGGAAGGTATTCATCCCTAAAGCACTCCGTGCGTATAAAAAACCGGGGTTGGAAAGCATGCATACAACACAAAGCATGCAGGATGCACGACATTCCGCGTTTTGATTTCAACTTAGCCCGTTCATTGACCTGATAGGCAAAATAACTCTGCTTACTGCCACCGCACGTTTCGCCCTCCTTGCCCAGTTCACACAGACACTGTCCAGTCTCGAAATGGCAGTGTTCACATTGGTGGCAAGCCTTGGCGCACATTTCACCGTGGTAACCTTGAGGGCAAACTAGAATGGAGAGAGAGAGAGAGAAAGCACGAATATATCCTTTTAAAATTAAAAGTGAGCATAGGTACTCAATGTTTTTAAAAGCTTAGTTTAACAATGGGTTGAACGTTTCACTGACTGGACCGGTCGGAACCGTCTGCTCTGGAAAAGGGACGTTTCAGAAATGAGTTCGTCTAGGCGACTCGTTCAAAATTTACCATGCGGTGACCAAGAACAACGCATACTAAAGTCAACAAGAGTACAGAAAGGATAACAATCGAGTGGGGGGGGGGGGGGGGAAAAAGGGGCCCAGAAGTTCA